TCTCTCCGTCCTTTGTGAAAAAAGTGTATTTCTATTAACTATAAGCTCAACATGACAAAATCCTCGTGACGGTATCTGTTATTATTGTTATTATGGTTAATGGAGATCTCTGACGCCCTGGTGACAATGTGGCGTTCGTACCTTGGCGCTACCTTTTCCATTTTCGTTATAAACATGAATGTAGAGGCCACGCAGGGGTTCAGATTCAGCTACCGGCTAAATACGGCACTGGTTTCGGCCATTTGAAGACTTAAAGAGATACATATGTGGTGAAATTATCCGATGACCCTTTGTGGTAATTACAATTAAATTTCTTTTGAATTCAACGGGAAAACGCACCCTCGGTGCGAAAAGATGAATGTTCTGTCCTCAATCAGAGCACTGAATGATATCTATTTCCTTGACATTTTGGTGTTGTCAGTGTGGAGTAATTCGGCTTCCATTTACCATTTTTGCTTCTTTTCCCTTATTATTCTTTTTGGTTATTTGTAAAGGTGAAGAATTGCCCCTTCTTCTACCATTCCTAATTGAGAAGCTAGCACAAATCTGTGCGTTCATAGATCTATAAAAAACAGACGTGAGTAGATGCGACGCCTAAGAAAATTGATGGTCCTTTTTGGGGTCATAAATATGCTTTGAATGCCTCTATACTTACATTGTATAGTTACAATGTATCAAATGTGACCTCCAAAGCGAGGTAACTTTGGGTAATGTAAAAATTTCATTGGTGTTGAGACGTAATCTGACTCACTCAGATAATTTTATATGTTAGCATCCCAACGACATAGCTTACTATTCGTTAGTTATGTTTCTTTTTCAGAAAGCAGTCCTCACAGTTAGCGCTTGAAGCTGTAACGCTCGATCCAAGCTCTGGCCTAGCCCATTGCTGTTTAGGAAATTCACTTTTCCTGGAGTTCTTCAATACAGGACAAGTAAACGAAGATTTGCTGGTTAGTTTGAGTAGGTTTCATATTCCATTCAGGCGTAGAAGATTGATTTGATGCCAATAATCCACTGCTGTCAAATTTTTACTTTAAACCAGTGTTTGAAATCGGAAAATGAAAAAGTGTTCGAAAGTTGCTCATTAAGTCGTACAAACATCCTTTAAGAAACAAGCTTGCAATGAGTATCGTCTTGCTCTTCAATGTGGGAAGGAGTATCGCAACGCTGATCTGCATCTCAATGCTGGGGCGGCCTTCCGGTATTCTCTTTTCATTTGCATTAGTTTCATTTTTTGTGTTTCTTTGTTTCTTTTTCAATTTTTTAATTTTGTTTCACAATCGCTGTAGCCCAGCTTTTGTTTATCGTTGTTTATCCTTTTTGCATTTTCCTATAACAGTACCTCCATCATCTACGGTGTCGACAGCATCGAAAATTTTGGATGTCTCACAACAAAAGCATCTCCTGATTGTGTCGTGACGTCTAGAAATGACACTGGAACCCGCCTAAGTCCGGCTTTATTAGAGATGAGTAGAATTTTCGGGGCCGAAATAGTTCACGCGGGTGCAAAGTATTGTAGCCATGCTACTTCATGTTCTTTGTGCCTTGTCTGGTCTTGTTCAGTCAC